AAAGAACCGTACTCCCCATATAAAGAAGCATGGCATGCTAGGGCTCCCCGCAGCTGGAAGCTAGAACCAAACTCCCGCCCCTTTTCTTCACCCCATCCACAGCCATTGGGGAGACAAGAATTCACCCAGAAATCACTCCAATGCCTTTATGAGTAATAATCACCTTTATCATCAACAGTCCCCTCTGTCAGCAAACAGACAGCCCCAGTGCCCTCTGGCATCAGCCCCTCAGTCACTGATCAGGGAGCCTCCTTCCCTTTGGGCTCTGGCTGATTCTCACATGCAGTTCAAGCTCCCAGGGGCAACAAAGACAGACTGCTCCCTGGGCCTGTTTCTAGGGTTGCCAACTATCTAATCACACAAAACTGAACCCCCCCTTGCCCTGCCCCCTGCCCAGCCCCTTCCCCGAGGCCTCGCCCCATCCCACCCCTTCTCCGAGACCCCGCCCCCTCCTCCACCACCACCACCCCCCATCGCTCATTCTCATTGGAGTGGGGGAGGGCTCCAGCTTGGGGTGTGGGCTTCAGGGTGGAGTCAGAATTGTGGGGTTCAGGGTGTGGGAGGGGGCTCCAGGCTGGGGCAGGGGGTTGGGGTGTGGGAGGAGGTGAGGGCTCTGGCTGGGGGTGCAGGCTCTGGGGTGGGGCTGGGGATAAGGGGTTTGAGGTGCAGGACAGGCCGATGGGCTGTGGCCGAGGGGTTTGGAGTGTGGGAGCAGGCTCAGGGCTGGGGCAGGGGGCTGGAGTGTGGGAAAGGGTGAGGGCTGGGAGTGTGGGCTCTGGGGTGTGGGCTGGGGATGAGGAGTCTGGGGTGAAGGAGGGGGCTCAAGGCTGTGACAAGGACTTGGGGGCAGGATGTGGGCCCCAGGAGGGAGTTTGGTTGAGGGATGGGGCTCAGAGCTGGGGCTGGGGATTGGGGTGTGGGCTCCAGCCAGGTGGTGCTTGCCTCCCAGCCAATGGGAGCTGTGGAGCTGGCGCTCAAGGCAGAGGCAGCACGTGGAGCCCCCGTGGCCGCCCTTGCGCCTAGGAGCTGGACATGGCGGCCGTTTCCAGGAGCTGCGCGGAGCCAGGGCAGGCAAGGAGCCTGCCTTAGCCCCACTGCACCGCCGATTGGACTTTGAATGGCTCGCTCAGCTGTGCTGACCGGAGCCGCCAGGGTCCCTTTTCGACGGGGCATTCCAGTTGAAAACCAGATGCCTGGCAACCCTACCTGTTTCTTCTGCCCTGTACTAGGGTTCTTGGCCTGCTGTGTGCCAGCTGCAGCTGCAGTACATGGCCTGTCTGGCAGGCTGTGCATCCCTATCTCCAAAACGGAAAATTGCGTCTTCAAATCATAGGAGAATTGGCAGTAGGAAGTAGGTCTGGAGTTGCAGCCAGCTCTTCCAAGGGCTCTGTAGGGGTAGACAGACCAATTTCCCATATCTGCTCGTCCCCCTGCCAATAGGGGCCCCAAGGGCAGGGCCAGCATTCACAGCACTGGATTGGGAGCGCCACACATTTGCATTAACTATTATAACTCAGATTGCTATGGTTATCCATAGACGTGAACTGTCCATTTTGAAGTAGTTGATGACAAATCCAAATCACTTAGTCTTTAGCTTTATAAAAATAACATGTAACCCCTTTGGGGTTTAGAGAGCATGGCCATTTAAATCTTTTTCCTAAGGGGGAGGGGGAGAGTAAGAAGAAAGGAGGGAAACTCCAGGGGGCAGCGCTGGAGCTCCAGGGAGAGGGAGAGACAGCCTGCAGGCCCTGGAAAAGTGAAGGAGGGAGAACCTGCCTGAAGCCTGGGAAGGACAGGGCCGCTCGGGGACACCCCAGGAGGAGCACTGTGCCAGGGAGGAATTGCCGAGAAGGACAGGCCGGAGCTGGACCCAGTATCACTGCTGCCCAGAGCTGCATGGGGCTGTGAGTACTGGGGCTTGTGACTCTGCATTGGGAACAAGGAGGGAGGTTGCTAGATAGTTAGGTGGGGAGGTGGTCGCTCTGTGTGGCTTTGCAGAGAGCGGCAGAAGAGAGGACTGGAGGGGTTTATTGGGGGAAAGTTCACTGGCGCCGAAGATGACCAGGAGCACCCAAGACTCACCACTGGACTGGAACTTTGCTCAGGACTCCTGAACTCTGTGTGCAGACACATTGTTCAGTGTCTGCCCTTCCAGACTGTGCTACTACTGGGCCGGTGGGGCCTTGGCTTGGATGCAGCCCTGTTTTACTGCTCCCCCTATATTTCCCCTGGTTGTTTTTCTCCTCTCATCCCTCTGTAAATAAATATTTCCCTTGTTATATCCACTGTACTTTTCCTGTGGGTGTGTGTGTTCACTCTGGGGGGTTTGGAACAGGTGCCCCTGGGGTGGAAGGGATTTCTCCTGCTGCTTTTCTGCACGTGCCATCTCTTGGCCAGAGCAGCCTGCAGAGCAGACTCCATCTTGGCTACGAGGGCGCTAAAGTTACAAACAGTAAGAGGCATGTTCCTGAAAACACTAGGCCCCTCTGACACACACTTAAAAATACAACGTATCAAAGGGAGAAACATCAGCCCCCTAGCACATAATACCACTCAAGTAACCAGGCAACACAAAAATAAACCAAATCCCTGTTTTTCTTTAACCATCGCTGCTAGCAGCAATATTTGCTGCTTCAGCAGCTCCCCTGGTAAGATGAAGCTTGCAGCCTGTGCGGAAGGTGAACAGATTCGGGCTATTTCACAGCAGAAGAAGAGGGACGCTCACTCTGAAGCAGTGTGGCCCATCATTGAAGATGCCCTTTCTTGCAGTCACTCTTCCGTGTACAAAGCTTAGGGAACTAGACGAGAACGTGGGTTCCATTTCCTGCTCTGTAACAGATTTTCTGTGTGACCTTGAGAAAGTCACTTGGGGCCAGATCCCTCAAGGTCTCACGGACCTCGTCCTAAGATGAACAGTTTGCCATAGCCAAAATGTCTCCTCTCCCCACACTTGTGCAGCACATTGTGCACTGCTGGGATATTGCTGTTGTACACTCGTGATATGGCTGCATGGCATTGATTGGGATGGAGGTATATCCAGCTAATCTGTCTGGGGCAGAGAGATCTGGAGTTAATTCCATGGTGCAGCTCAAAGCCCAAAGATGGCACTGACAGTCCTCAAATGTCACTGCTGGCTGCTCTTTGCCTGAAACTGCCAGGTGAGGAGAGAGCTATGGAATGGCTGGTTTATACTGCTGATCAACACAAATCCAAGCATTTCTATCCCTCTTCTAAGGCAGGTACAAGTAATAAGCAAAGGTGGCTGTGGGCATTTATTTTTAATTATTAAAAAATAAATTTAAATGTAACTTACAGACCATTAGTTGCCCATGAGTCCCTCAGACTCACAAAGTTATGGTATCAGAATCCTTGCTTTAGCCAGCAACCTATCAAAAGGCATCAGCGCCAATACTGCGGTGTCTGGCTGGTCTAGCCTTCGATGTATTTACGAGACTGCAGCCAGAATGCTAGTTCTGAAAAGACAGACTTTGAAAGCCAACCTGTAAAATGAAATTAGAAGAGTCGTTGGCTAAATAACTCAGTGGTACCAGCCAATCCAAGAGAAATGGCTTCCCACTAGAATGAGCAGGTTTTGCTTTAAAATCTGAAGGACCAAATTCATAGATCAGTTTAAGTGACTATAAGTGGAGTGGGAAGAAATATTTCAGTTAAATAGTAAATTTGCTGAAAAATGCAGTTTGGGGATGATGGAAACTGTCATAGTTCAGGGCAACTGCACCTCTGCTTCCCATCAGTGGCCTAGCAAGGGCAACCAAGCTCAGGTTCCAGCCCCTCAGCTCTTCCCTTTCTGGGTGGTGACCCATGTCTCACTCCCTTCTGACTGGATATTCCAGGCTGAAGAGTTTCCTGCCTACACTCTATTTCCAGCAAAGACAACCTGCCCACACAGACCTGCTTGCTTTGGCTTCAGAGACTGATGAAAGAGTGATGCTACTGATAAAAGTTACCACACAGTTCTTTCTAAGCAAGCCTGCTCTATTCTTAAGGTAAACAGCATTACAGAGAAAACACAAGAAAAGAACATACACGCGTGTTAATAACCTTACTAGAATTTACCTTCACATGGATTCTAGGTAGGTCAAGTCCTTCTAATCCTATCCCAAGGACTGGGGCCCCCCATGGACCAGGGGACCTGTCTGCTGGATTCAGTCAGTTCAAAACCCAGGCTTTGTTTTATCCAAAACTCTTTTCTTTGTCTATTGGTCCCTGGAGAATCCAGTTTGAAGTAGTTAATATACAAACCACCACTCCAAGGGGTGGCTTCAAAGGCTGATAACAAAGGAAGTTCATTAGCAGCCCTCCCCACTAGAGAAGGTCCACACAATGCCTCAGCAACACATACACAATTGCATTTTTAATACAATGTACCCCAAAAGTATTAATTCTAATTGTATAAGGTTTTACTTAATTCAGTAAAGATTATTTTTATTCCATAGGGTTTGCTCAGGACATTTGAGGATATTGTCAGTCTGTCACAGAAACTGTTTACAAATTCTCATAAATTTCAATGAATAATTTTGGCCATTTTGAGATTTGGGAAACGAAACGTTTCAACATTTCATTTTGAAACAATGTTTTCTTTCAAAACTTAGCTAGATTTGTTTCATTTTTTTTAAAAAGGGCAAAAAACACCTGAAAATGTAACAAACCAAACCCCTCCCCCCTCCACCAGATTTTTTTGGGTCAAACAAAACATTTCATTCAACCCATTTAATTCAACTCTACCATTTTTGCTGCCCCAAGCATAAATAAATAAGCCGCTCAGACTGCCACCCTCGAAGGTGTGAAACCAGCCCGCCAGTTATCAGCTCACTTTGGCACACGCACACTCCACACAATGGGCACAACAGAGACCTGCTTGGGGTGAAAATTAAAAAAACAAAACTTTATTTAATAGGCAAATTACAGCTTCCAAGATGAAAGAGGAGGGGAAGCAAACAGAGAAAATAAACATAGAGACACAATCTCAGGCTTTATATCTCTATATCTGATAAAATCCCTTGTCTAATAGAAGTCAGCCATTGCCTTTGAGCAGTTTCCCAGCATGCCCCCATCACAGAGAGGATCCAGCATTCACAGCCAGTCCTCTGCCTTCGAGACTGTCCTTCAGTTCTGGATACCTTTCACTTCAAACCTCTTCCCTTTTAACAGGGATTACAGGGCTTTTTTCTTTTTCTCAGACTACGGTAATTCATGGTTATTCAGATTGTGGGGAGGAGGGGGAAGGAGGAAGGAGGTTCCCTCTCGACTTGATAGCCAGGGCATCTCGGTGTCTTCCCCTTTAACTGTAATGGTCCTTCATTTGTCTTTTCCTGGGTTGTACCATGGATAGTTACTTGCATCTGGTTTGGGTAAACACCCGGCTTGAAAAGAGCCCCTCTCTGCTGTGAGGTGTGGTTGAAATTGTAGTACAGGTCATGAGAATAGTATTCTGTATGCAGATTCATAACTACAGTCCGTATATATTGCATAATGACCATCAAGTTCAGAACATTACAAACTTTCATGAAAGACCTTACTCAACATATTTTTATACCCACTAACATTATGTACACCTGGTTGATTCAATTGCTTAATCTTTGGGGCCGAGATCCTCTGTTCTCCCCTTGAGGCTTCTGGACCCTGATTATCACAGCATACACCTAAGCCACAATTCATGGGGCACCATGACTCTGTATGAGTTCCACTGCAGGAAGAAGCCTAGAGTAGGTGGGTAGAGGACATTCAGCACTCCAAGGGTCCATCTTAAAAGCATGAATTAAAGGATGAAGGCTGCTCACTTCCTCAAAAGGGGAAAGGAAATGGCAATCGGGAGATCGAGGTAAGGACACAGAGATGGGAGCCAGGAGGAAAGAGAGAACTTCTGTTATCTGCCAGAACTTACAAACATGAAATACGATTCCTGAACTGATGGCATCTGAGTGACAACAACTGGCTTCAACTCAAAACAGTGAGACTGTATCATGGCAAACAAACCTGATCCTTACCTGACTAGAGCTGGGCAAATCATTTTCCATGTAACACTTTTCTGTAGGACAATGCAGTTTTGTCAGAATGATGCTTTGTGGAAACGGGCCAAGTTTGACAAAACTTTTCAAAGGAAAAATGTTGAAGCAAATTGTGTCAACTGTCTCATTTTGTTTTGACAATGTCAGAATGTTTCATTTCAATAATGTCAAAGTGTTTCATTTTGATAAGCCAAAAACATTTCATTTTGACTATTGTTTTGTTTCATTTAGACTTTTGCATATTATAATTATAATATATTATATATAATTACATGTAATATGTTCTATATATTTTTTTACCTTATCTAAAGAAAACATTTCAATGTTCCCAAACTGAATTTTTTGGGGAATTTCCTTTCTGTGAAAAAAATTGAACCATCAAATTTTCGTTCCAATCTGGAATGTGAACATATTTCAAAATGTCAGTATTTCCCACAGAATGGAAATTCCGTTTTCTAATCAGCTCTAACATGTACTATTCCCAGCCTTTGTATAAGCAACAGAACTCCTTTGGGTGTTATTGGCTAGGATAACCAATGGTTTGGTTTTTTCCCTTCCAGACTACTTACTTGTTGGGGTAGATACCCTGACAACTTAGAGATGGTCCCAGAACAATAGGGTGATGGCGAGTTGGACAGTTGGAGGTAAGATTGCTTTGCTACTGTGCCTGTATGGTGGCTAAATGGAAGAGTTCAGTCCCGGGGTGTAGTGAGGTGGTTACCCCGCTCCTGCCTGAGGGGTTTAAAACAGCCCTGGCAGAGGGCTGGGGCAAAGGGAAAAGCTACTGGGCTGACTGGGGAAGTAGCCACAGCTGGGCCACGCCCCAATCAGGCCCCAGCTGGCCTATATAAGAAGGCTGGGCGCCACGAGATCAGCAGTCTCTCTCTGCGTTCAGAGGGAGAAGGGCCTGGCTGCAGGGAGCTAGAGACAGGGTACCTGAGTGCAGCAGGGCTGGGGACAGGCTGAGGAGCTGGGGAGCTCCAGCCTGGATAGCCCCAGGCTGCGGCCTAGTAGGAGGCCAAGGGGTACTGGGGGTTGCAGAGGCCAGCCCATGGGTAGGCCAAGGCAGCAGGTCCAAACCCAACCTTGCCTGTGATGAGTGGCCTATACTGCAGTCTGCCCCAGGGAGCGGGGGCTAGTTGGTAACTGGCAGTGGCCTTATTCTGAGGCAAGGTAGGGCTAGTGGGTGGGGGTTCCCCAGGGAGGGGAGACCCTAGTACTGAGGGGTGTACTGCCAGGGGGCAGCACCCCAGATACAGGGGGACCAGGGTCTGGGAGGGATATGGGGGCCAGAGGACAGGCAGATCACTGGCCTGCAGGGGGTGCTCCAAGACAATGGAAGAGCTAATTCCCGAGACGACCAGCAGGAGGCGCCGCAGGGGTGAGTCCGCTCCTCTACACGGGGGCTATCAAAAGCCCATACTCTTGGAACTGGAGTTGTTAGTGTTGTGAAACTGATTGTATTCTTACCTTGGCTCCTTAAGAAGAAGGAGGAAACTTCTGAGTCCTGGACCACTCCACCTGCTCATCATAATTTCCCATCCTATTGCTGAGTATGAGCAGAAGGCAGAGGAAGATGATCTCTCCTATGAATCCCCCCTCAAGTTTGGCCTTATATTTTCAAAGGCTCTATGTGAAATATTATGAATAGGGTCTCATCTAGGTCCCCTATCACTTCTGATTGGGACTTCTGTTACCTCTCTGTACCCATGACACCTCCTTTTGCTCTCTTCTTCCATGAGTCCCAGTAAGGCTGTGACAATGCCCCAAACCTTCATGTGTTTCTGTGGCTCCATAGCCTCGAGCTCCCTCTCCCTCACTAGCCAGGCCAGGACACCTACAGCAAAGCCACAGTGCCACTTTCCAAAGGAGGAGCTGAGAAGTCTCTGCTCTGTCCTGCTGGCATTAGACTTAGACAGAATCATGCACAGGGGATATGGGATGGTTCAGTGGCTCAAGAGCAGTATGGCACCTGCAGGAGCAGGGCCGTAGGCAGATGCAGGTAAACACAGGCACGGTCGCATTTCCTACTTTGTTGTCCTTGCATCTGTAATGAGTGGATTTCTAGGTCCTGGGGAAAAGCACAGTGAACCTGGGTCAGGATAATATAGGCTGAAAATATAGGTCCAGCTCCTCAGCTGGCCAACATTGACTTCGATGGAGCTACCCTGATTTACATCAGCTGAGGATCTGGCCCATTGTTTCTCCTGGAGGCAAAATTAGCTTTTATTGCAATTAATTATTTTAGCTGGCTTGGGGGCAAGGAGCTGCTGGTTTTGTCTGATCTGATTTATATTGAACTTTTGGCAAAGGCATCTAGAGCCCCGAACTGATTTCTTTTGTGGTATTTGTTATAAACCAAAATAAATAAAAGTCTATCAGCACAGATGTTAAAAGAAGTGAATGCCATTGAGTGAAATAATACCTCTAAAATAAATACCTGTAATAAACAAGACACCAAGGAGGAGGGAAAGATTTATATATTAAAAACAAACCTTATTATTTACAATATAACCTTAAAAATCCTGTACTACCACACCGATAACCTGTGTCTCTCTTGTGTTACAGCCTACTCATCTGAACTAAAACCAAGGATGCTTAATTAGATTAATTCTGGTCTCTATCTAGCAAGAATATCTTCATCAATGATTTAGATAATGGCATACAGAGTACACTTATAAAGTTTGCGGACGATACCAAGCTAGGGGGGGTTGCAAGTGCTTTGGAGGATAGGATTAAAATTCAAAATGATCTGGACAAACTGGAGAAATGGTCTGAAGTAAATAGGATGAAATTCAATAAGGACAAATGCAAAATACTCCACTTAGGAAGGAACAATCAGTTGCACACATACAAAATGGGAAATGACTGCCTAGGAGGAAGTACTGTGGAAAGGGATCTGAGGGTCATAGTGGATCACAATCTAAATATGAGTCAACAGTGTAACGCTGTTTCAAAAAAAGCATACATCATTCTGGGATGTATTAGCAGGAGTATTGTAAGCAAGACACAAGAAGTAATTCTTCCGCTCTACTCCACACTGATTAGGCCTCAACTGGAGTATTGTGTCCAGTTCTGGGTGCCACATTTCAGGAAGGATGTGGACAAATTGGAGAAAGTCCAGAGAAGAGCAACAAAAATGATTAAAGGTCTAGAAAACATGACCTAGGAGGGAAGATTTAAAAAATTCGGTTTGTTTAGTCTGGAGAAGAGAAGACTGAGGGGGACATAAGTTTTCAAATACATAAAAGGTTGTTACAAGGAGGAGGGAGAAAAATTGTTCTTCTTAACCTCTGAGGATAGGACAAGAAGCAATGGGCTTAACTTTCAGCAAGGGAGGTTTAGGTTGGACATTAGGAAAAACTTCCTAACTGTCAGGGTGTTAAATTGCACTGGAATAAATTGCCTAGGGAGGTTGTGGAATCTCCATCATTGGAGGTTTTTAAGAGCAGGTTGGACAAACACCTGTCAGGGATGATCTAGATAATACTTAGTCCTGCCTTGAGTGCAGGGGACTGTACTAGATGAGTGGCGAGGTCCCTTCCAGTTCTATGATTCTAAGAAACCCTTGCTCGTGACAGCTCCTCAGGCCCAAGTAAAAAAGCAGGCGAGTAGCCAAAACCCAGAAGAGTTTGCAAGGATGATAGAAAAAATCATGGTTTTACTTGGGTCGGTTTGATCTGGAGTCAGGGAGAGAAAATAAACATAGCACCTCACAAAGCCAGTTGTACTGTCTCTTCACAGCATAAAATTTCGCTCCCTGGCAAAGAATAGAGATGGGGAAAAGGAGAAATTAACTGCACCCAACACATTGTGGGTGCTGGGGTAGCAGCAGCAAGAGGGTTAAAGCTCTACTGGAGAAGTCCTGAGTTGTATTTTGGCCAGGAGGAGGCAACCCCTGAAATACTGCCTAGAGAGGTTGCTTATTCATCTAACTGCATCCCTGAGATAGTTGATATACAGTATATTAGTATCTAACTGAAGGCAGATACTTACTTACCAGTAGGGATCTGTCTACTGATCAGTGTCTTCCTAGCTACTAAGTGGTAAGCATAACTATCTACTTGTCAGAATCTGTGTATCTGTCATGCAGGGTTATAGGGAGAAGAAAGGGTAATTAAGCAAAAGCCTTTGGGTTCAACAAAACTCATTTTCACTCATGTTGAGTTACTGGAATTCTGCATTCCCTATAACTTCATACACTGCCCTGCCGGAGGCCTTTCCACACATCGCTGATGCTCTCCATGAAAATGTTTCGGGTGTCTGGGGTGCATTTGTGCTCTTTAAACTCACTCTTAGTTGAATCCTCTTGATCTTTATAAGCTGGTTCAGCTCATAGAGGAGCCTTGTGAGATCATCACCTAGACACACCGAGGATTTAATGTATGTTGAATCAGTTGACATGCATCAGTCATGACTGGCCAAAAGAAGCAACAGCTCTGTCACCTGTTAAACTTGATGCCACTGAGTGCCACAGTGAAGAAGCCAAGTGTATAGTGCAGAACAAGCCACCTTTGGCACCTGCACTGAATTTGGGTTTGTCTATTTGCAGCTAATGGGGAGGGGGTTGGGAAGCTCAGCTGAATGATGTCAGAGGGCTGGTGTTCAACTAGGCCGTCACCGGAACAATTATCTCTAGTCCAGTGATAACAATATTTTACTTCCATTCAGTAAAACAACGGAGAGTCAAGCGAGCCATTGAGCAACATGCTATATTAGCAGTATTTTCTGTGATTGATTAAACAGTGCTCATTAGCAGCATTAAAAATAACCAGCAAGTCATTATAATCAATGTGAAACATAAGGCAATGGCCTGGAGCAAACCTCTAAATAAATACGCAATTCACTAGTACGAGTACAGCAGGTTTGAGTTTTGCTAATTTTTTAAACACCTGATGTGTTCAAAGCCTGGGGAGCGTTAGAAGCAAAGAACTGGAGCTCAAGGCTCCTGCTCTCCGTTCCTGGTTCCGGAACTGAGGTCTGGGTCGTGGGACTTGCAAAGCACAGGATCATAGATTTTGGGGAGCCTTTGGAGGTCAGCACTAATCTCAGCCTTCATCGTAGTAAATAAATATAGTGAGTCTCAAACCCTTTTGGTTGTGGAGGGAGCCTCCAAAAATGAATCCCATCCCTAGAGGGTAAAGTTGGTCACCTCATGGGTTATTCACCTCCCTTTGCCCCTCCACAGTTGCACATTGCACAGAGCTGACCTGTGTGAAAGCCTCATGATGGCCATGGGCTCCTTTACTTTTAAGGAAAGGAAAGTCTGGATTGGTTAGAGGCTGGGAGTGGGAGGCACCCAGACTGTCACTGACATGACTAAGGCTACAGCGTTCTCTCTTTCTACACCTGGAGCTGGCTCCTCCACACAGCTGTCAATGCAGTCTCCTGCCATCAGGGTGCAGACAGAGGAGGAACTGAGTCACCTGCAGGCAGCTGGCACAAAGAGGCCCCAATTATTTTCTTTCTGACCTCCAAATGTACCTCTCTCCACTGATTTTTTTACTTCTCAAATGCTCAAGGCCAGCATGTTACAGTGCATCACAGTGGTTAGAGTGGGGAGAGACAGGGGTATCCCACCCATCCCCAGGCAAAGCCAGGAGTACAGTCCTCTGCTGGAGCCTTTGTCAAATACTACACTTGGTCTCTCAGCCAATCAGTCTGTTTATGCAGAGCAATGAACATCCAAACCATGGTTATTTCTGGAAATGCTCTCAAATGAAAAGAATGTGTATAAAGTGAAGGAAGGACGTCGGTTTCATAGGGTGCTACAAAAGATTATGCCCCAGGAATACTCACCATTATACAGACACTGTCAGGACAAAAACTCGAGCTCATAGGGATGAATTTGGCTTCGTAGTTAGAGATAATCTTCACCTGGTTGATTATGCGCACATTATTACAAATGAAAGCTTTTTTTAAAAAAAAAAAAAGAAAAATTCACATTTTACCATATATGCTCTTTCTTTTACCTGTTTGTGCTTCACGCCCCGTCTCTTCCCCCCCGCCCCCTGGACAGTAACGCTAATCTGGGCTGTTTTACTTTTCATGCCTTGTTAAGAAAGCAGTGTCACCCAGTGGCTAGAGCACTGGGCAATAGGATTCATGAGACCTGATATCTGTCTGATCTTGGACACGCCACTTTGCTTCTTTTTCACTCTCTGTCTTGGTTGAGACCTGTGGGTCTCCACCTGTAATCCATGCACCCCTGGGGATCCATGGACTATGTTAATGAGGTCCACGAAAGACTTAGACTGAAAACTGACTGAACAGAATTCAACGATCTATACAGACAATAGATTTCCAAAGGGGTCCGCACCTCCATTCAAAATGTCCAGAGGGGTCCGCAAATGAAAAAAGGTTGAGAACCACTGTCTGAGATTGTATAAGCTAATTGGGGAAGGGATTGTCTCTTACTATACATCTGTACAGCACCTAGCACAATGGGGCCCTGATCTTGATTGGGACCTTTAGGTGCTACAAATTATACAAATAATGCTAGTCAGTTTCGTCAGCTTCTGGTTCTCAAGCACTAGCCCTGTGCTTGGGTCTCCAGCATAGCAGGGGAAAATTTAGGACCATCCCCCATTCCCAAATTGTTTTCATTTTAATTTGTTAAAAATCCTGTGAACATTTATTTATGAGGTTTAGTAAAACGTGTTTTTCTTAACAAAACCCAAGTGAAGTTGACCGTGTCCCTTTAAGCAGTTCTTTTTCCTTTTCCTTTAAAGAGATATTTCTGAAAGGCATTGGACCTGATCCAACCGCCAGAGAAATCAATGGAAGAACTCCTGTTGGCTTCAGTAGAGCTGGATCAGGCCCTTTATACAAACAATAAATCCAGATGGACCATTTATGAGAAATTTCCAGCAACGTTTTCAATGACATTGTAGTTGGAAGATATTAAAGCATAAAACACACATCTCAAACTGCATCGCTGCCTGACGCCAGGTTCCGCCCTCCCTGATGTATGTGCTTGTGCTCAGTTAATATGACACACCTTATTATAAATGAACACTGATTATTCACCAACATTTAATGTCATTTATTTTAATTTTACTGTTGTTTGTTTGTTTTTTGGCTACTTGTAGACAATGTCACTTCAGAGTGAGCAAAACACACCTGCCAAGAAAAGGTAATTTCTGTGTGGGGAGAAGTTTCCTGCCTCATTTCAAGAAGCAAAAAATATAGTGCTGGGCAAAAGCTTTAAGAAAGGGTTCTGTCATCAGTGAGTAAATCTCCGAAGGTTTAGTGATGTGGGGATTGGTTAGCTCCGGGAACCGATAATAGCCTAATGCCTGTAAGTCACTGGTTTGAGCTCAGCCCAGTGACCTATGAGAAATAAGTTTGGTAGGTTGGTGTATGTATCTATCATTCTTGAGGTATTTATATCTCGCTCATCACGGGGCGTTGAGTGCCCAGGTCTTGCTTAAGTTTCCAGTGGCCAAGTATCCACAGAAACAAACCACCTTTCACCACAATTGGTGGTACCTGTACCATTTTTGGCAGACTCATTAGCCAGGCAAAAGATAGAATGGGATTCTTCCCCCACCCCACCCCAACAGTGCTGAGACATGTTGGAAGAGCAGGGAAGATTTCAGTCTCGAGGGATGACAGTCCAGCCATTTTTGTGAATGTTAAATGTACATACAATTTATGATAATTTTTAAAGATCAGAAGTTTTAGCTGAGAAGCATCTGAAATCCATCCGAGACTCTTTGGGGTATAAAGTAGTAAAAGCTAGAAAACATGCCAGGATAGTTTTTCCTCTATTTTTCGATTTTTAGTTGTTTGTCCCCACAACTCCTATTGGGAGGCAGTTCTAGAACCTCACCCTCTCTGATCATTAGAAATAGTCTTCTAATTTCCAGCCTGGATTTGTTCATGGCCAGTTTCTATCAATTTGTTCTTGTGCCAACACTATCTTCTAGCTTAAATAGCTCTCCACCCTCCCAGATATTTATACCCCCTTCCTTCCCCCACCCCCAAATGTATGTCTAGGGAGCAATCATATGTCCTCTCGGCCTCCTTTTTACAAGACTAAACAAGCCAAGCTTTTTCAGTCTCTGCTCATAAGATAGACCCTACATTCTCCTAAGCATTCTTGCAGCTCTTCTCTGCACCTGTTCCAGTTTAAATTCATGTTTCTTGACTATGGGTGATGAGAGTAAAATTATCAGTATTGGCAACATTGAGTAGGTTACAGAAGGAAATGAGAGATGAGATGTGTCATGACTTCATTAGCAATACTGTACCCCACTCAATGTTGCCAACTCTGGCAATTTTACGCTCATCATATTGGATGTTTTTCTTAAAGCTCCAGCTGCTGGAGTCATGTGATTATGTGAAAATCTCAGCTTTCATTTTTTAAAAAAAAGTAAATTTCTAATAGATGGGTAGGAAGTGATTTTCCTGTCCCACCAAAATTGAGATTTGCCAAACAAACAAACAAACAAAAATCCATTACAAATCAGGATGACAATTCAAAATCTTCAAATCTTTTGTGAACCAAAAATCCAACATCTGTTTTGGTTTGGAACAATTGAAACATTTTGTTATTGATAGTTTCAAAACATGTCATTTAGATTTTGACAATTTTTTAAAATTTTAGTTAAATTTCAAAACAAAGTCATTTAAAGCCAGAAAACTGGAATTTTTCATTTTGAAAATGTCAAAATGGGACAATTGCAAAACTTTCCTTGACTCAAACATTTTTTTGAAGTTTCTGGGGGCGTTAAAAATGACCCTTTCTTGTGGAAAAAATTGGTTTTGATAATTTGGCATTTTTCAATAAATAAGTGTTTTGTTGAAAAATTACCAACCAGATCTAGTTTCTTGCCCTCCTGGTTGTTAAGAATAGCTTAAAAATGTGATCCAAGAGAACCCTAAAAATTCAAACCAGTAGGCAAAGAAAAAAGACCCCAAATATATTTTAAAAATCTCATGCTTTTTGGGGGACCAACATTATTTTTTAATGTTGGGGTTGACAATGCAGCTGTCTGGTCAGTGTGCATTACGTGTCCCCTCCCCGCCCCAAGCCTGATCCACAGAGGGTATAGTCTGTGACAACTCTCTCCTTCAAAGTTTGTCTCTTTATCTCAAGATGAATGGACTGATGCTTTCAGCCTTGAAGGCTCCTAGTTTAATCCCCAACGTTGAACAAGAAGAAGGCGGTCATGCTTCTCCCCTGCCCTGCACCTGCTCTTTTCATCTTGTTGCTCTGTGGGGCTTCTCCGCCAGCTCTTACCTTTCTGCCTTTGCTAGCGCTTCCCCATGTGCCTGAAATGTTTGACTTCCTTTGCATCAGCTGGCCTCAGTCACCTTCTTCAGATCTCTTCTTCAAATCCCTCCCGACCTTTGCGGTGCTGGCTCCGACTCCTGTGCTGGCGATCCCTCTGCTCTTGCCCTAAGTCTGCCTCAATTTAAAAACATCAGAATGTCAGTGACTTTCTCAGTGTATGACAGCACTGATATTATCTTTGTCTCAGCTCTCACTCCGCCTTTCCCTTTCTATGTGTTGCCTTTGTTTCCTCTCTTTATCTGATTTAGACTGGAGGTTCTTTGTGGCAAGGACGATATCTTTTTAAAATCTCTGTAAAGCCAATTCAGTGTTATGGTTATATGAATGTCAGTAGAAAAAGCAGTACATTGGAAGCAGCTGCGTAAACCAAGAGGAACACTGCGGTCAACAGATTAAAGCAGGAATTCTCAGAGAATAGTCCCATGCTATCTATGAGGCATGCTTTGAAGCTGTGTTCTGATAGCATGTTCTTATTTCTGGTCCAATGTGATCAGCGCATGATGACTTTTTCTTTGCTTGATGCTCCATGGAATTGAGCTGACTGAAAATATTCCATCTAAAACTTTTTTTTTTTTTTTGGATGAAAAATTGGGTTTTTGACAAAATAATTTTTTTCACAAAAAAAGGACTGCCTTCCTCAAAAAGGATTAATTTTTCATTGGCAAACCAACCCTCTCACCCCAACAGATTTTTATGTATGTATGTATGTATGTATGTATTTATTTTGGGGTCTTGGCCAATTTTTTAAATAAAAAGTTCAAATTTTCCAGTGAAAATTCTATATTAAAAAAAAATTTTGCCAAAACATTCCACATGGACCCTCCCCCCAGTTTTTGACCAGCTCTGCTATCAAATATTGTCTACATGACTTTTGTTTTGTGGCAAATATTATGTGCTTTGGCCCACATTCTCAAACGCATCTGCAAAAAGATGCTCCTAACTAGATCACATGTGGAAATCGCCAATTGGTTGAGTGTGCATCAGGCATTTTGTTCTGTGTCCATGTATGTTTGTGTGCCTGGCTTTGAAAATCTGGGCCTTTACAGTTATGCAATGTAGTTAATGAGGAATTAAAATCCAACCACCTGAGGGTTCCTCCAGTTTTGAATGATGTGTTACTGGTGTGATACCCAGGATGATTTCAGGTTATGAGGGAAAGTTGATGCTTCAAGATCAAATAAGTCAGGGGATCCATATAAGTATTGCTAGAGGATGAGAAATATGCACTCCCAATAGTCATTTGTATATGGGGTGGGGAAAAATATTATTTGGCGTAGTTAACTCCAGAAAAATGTCTTCCAAATACTGTACATACCAGCTTGTGATGATACATACAGACTTAGCTGCTGCTCTTTGACTCAACAGACAGGCAACCAATGGGGATGACCAAAGGTGAGGGGCGGGCAGCTTCTACACTTTTTCACCCATCTAAAATGGTACCCAGGTACCAGCGGTTGGTCAGATCCCTTTCAAACCTGCTAACATCTGAAAGATCCAATCAGAATATCTGGGGGGAAAAAGATGAGGCAACTGAACCCAATGGAGGGACCCATTCTGTTGAACTCAATTGAGATACTTTGCTGAGCAATAGGCACCATTAAGTCCCTCCATATTTGACCTATCAGTCCTTGTCCTCAAAAGAAATTTGCACACCTTCAAAAGATGAGCTTGGGAACTTGAATTCATAACTCTGTGTTACCTTAAGCACCCCTCAATGCCCACAAGCAAAAAGCCTACTGTACGGTGACTCATATCAAGGCTGAAACAATCAGTACCCCCAACACATTGTTGTCATAATATTTAGGTAAGAGGTATCATGTAGGGTATCATATGTAAACTGGTGACACAGTGGTCCCGAAAATCATTGTGTGATGTGTGTATGGGTTGGATATAAGGAGTTATGTATGTGTGCTGGAAATACATTCTTAAAATATGTTTTGGAGGCAGTCATAAATTAAGTCTGCCCTCAACAAAGGAACATGGATTTACCTGGCTGACCAGCTTGATTACAGGCAGAGGACACTGAGGTACATTTACACATAAGGTAATCGAAACCATCAAGCTAACAAACTGTGGAGGAAACAATTTAGTGAGAACACTGGGTCTGAATCTGCACCCCCAGGAAGTCTTCTTGGCTCTTGAGACAAAGACAATGGACTTTGCGGGGGGAAAGAGAGCAAAAAGACATGCTAGTGATCCATCACTTAAGAAACCAAGGGAGCAGCACCCTCAGATTCTGTGAACATTGAATCCCATGGCTTGGAGTGGTAGAGATGCCAATATCTTGATGTAAGTGAGAAAACTGCTCAGGCACAGATTGCATCTTGCTAAAAGTAAGTTCTAGTCACTGGAAAGTGTGTTTTCTTTTGTTGTTTGTAACCACACCTGTCTCTTTTTCTTTTGCTTAGTATCACTTAAATCTCTGTTCTTTGTTCATAAACTTAGATTTACTGTAAACCATCTCAGTGCTGTTATACTGAAGTAAAGCAAAATTAACAGGCTGGCGTGTTCTCTGTCTCTTTGGAGGCAGTGAACTTAATCCTTTCTGTGAGTGCTCATTGAGAGGGACTGGGCACGGCAGAGAGCTGTCTCTGGGGAACTCGGGAATTGGAGTTCAATGATTGTTACTTGCAAGGCAAGGTAAAGACTGGCAGAATCTTGAGGAGTTTACTGGTAAGGTAGACAGACTGGTGTGGCAGGGAACCGACACACAGGCTAATCTCTAGTAAAGCTCATTTTTGCTAAGGCAGAGGGGTAACACAGAGGTTTACAGTACTGGGTGTCCTGAACAAAGCGCCACATTCTGCTAGCTACTAAAAATCATGGTCCCGACAGAGACCCTGGTTTTATGGCTCATTACAACAATTTGTAACCTACTAAGCCTCCTTTGTCCTATGACTGAAAAGGTGTTAATAACCCACTTAGTGCAACGTGTGTTAACCCTTATGCTTAACAATATGTCCCACCTTGGATTTAGCTGTGACACTCTGGTTACCTTATCTAGACCTGAAGAATTGCCCTGTGGTGCTCGAAAGTTTATCTCTTCCACCAACAGAAGTTGGTCCAATAACAGATATTACCTCACCCATCTTGTCTTTCTCATAGCCTCGTACCAATATGGCTACAACAACACTGCAACCTCCTAAATGAGGACATTTGTCATGTAAGTGATAGTGATGGTCTTAAATTAAAATAGAGATCTCAACACTTCCCAGCTTTAGAGTATTTGAGATCTGGATCTGAGTTTTGAACTAGCCTTTGTCTTTAGATTGTCCTTGGGATGTTCAAAATTAGTATACAGATCTGAACTGTGCAACTTGGGCCCCTCTCTAGTTTGCATGCGGGAAAAGTATATTTTAAAATTTTGTTTGGTAAAGAACCAAGTGTGAAACTCACAGTTGTGCCCAGGGGTCATATTCCCAGAGATGGCTATTGTTTTTACATTTGTACTGTAACTGGGAGGTAGGGACAGGGGTTCCTCAGCCCAAAGCATTTCCTTCTTCCTCTTCCACTTATGACTCCCTATTATATAAAAGTGCTCATCCACATTGTGTTAGTCAGCCACAGATCTTGCTCTTGTCTGCAGCCCTCTCAGGGATTATACTATGATTTTCCTACTGATAAGTAAAGCAGGTAAACCCACACACTGATAGCCCATTCGCTTTCTAAGGCTGTTCTTGAAACTCAGACTCCTAGCAGTGGAGGTGACAGCGAGAGCGATGATGCCAGAATATAGAGTGCGTGACATTTTAAAACATACCTGAGAACCGTTCAGAAAAGAAACAAGACTGACAAGATGACTCTGACATCCAGAGGGGGTTGGATCTGAGGAGAGAGTTTCCCGGTCTTCAGATTTTATTTCTGAGTAGAGAGAGCCATTAAATCATGGATTCAAAAAAGTTGCATGGAGCAAATGCTCTGGAAAATGAAACAAACTTACCGGGACCAAAACCATTCCTGGTGTAAAGCCATTTCAATGGATGGAGTTACAGCAGAGATGGAATTGGCCTACTCTGTCACCACTGCGATTTTCTTTGTCCTTCTCTCTGGAGCTGTTTTGTCCAGACCATTTCGTTGATTTTTCTTGTGTGCTCAGCAAACCTTGAAAGGATGGGGAGGGGGTACATGCTTATGAATAGGCTGGTTGAAAGTCTTCCATCCATATGGAAAATCTTCTGTGAAAATCTTCACTTGGTTCTAAAATGTTCCAGTTTGCAGAAAGTTATTTGGGATTCAATTCTTTGTCAAGAAAACTGGGAAATATTTGTGAAAAAAAACTGGAAAAATCAAAATGTTTCATTTCCCCCCCAAAATTCCAGAGGCCGACACTTGGTCTTTTCTAATCAGCTCTAGTTAGTGCTTCTCTTTGTTGTCACTGTAGCTATTGTGGGGCCACAGACAGCCTGAAAAGTGGTGTCTGAAATCTGTGTACATGATTGTTTGCCCCCAGCTACGCTCTGTGGTACTTATTATTTCAGACCAAATCTAGGTGTCCCTGAAATCAATGGCAACTGACTTCAAGAGACCAGGATCCGGCTCTTTTATATATACACCTCTACCCCGATATAACATGACCTGATATAACACGAATTCTGATATAACGCGGTAAAGCAGTGCTCCTGGGGGGGAAGGGCTGCGCACTCCGGCGGATCAAAGCAAGTTCGATATAACGCGATTTCACCTATAAGGCGGTAAGATTTTTTTTGGCTCCCAGGGCCCCTGCCCTGAGGCGCTTGCAACTGTAAGCAGAGTCAGGATGAGCTCTACCCTGACATCTGTTGATGAATTATGGTGAGTGTGGAAAAGAACTCCAGGGGCTGATCTTGTTTGCATAGGCACACCCACCCGCCTGGCATGAGACAACAGCAACTGATAGTGGTTACTTTGGATGGGGTGGGATCCCCAGTTTCTCTGTTATTGGGGCAGGAGGAATAAAGTGTTGTTACCCTGATTATGTGAATCAAGGACAATGAAACTGTTTTATGACAGAGGGTCTTACCATCACCTAAGTAGCACACGCTAGACAAGGGACATGGGTTCCACAACCCAGTGAATTGAGGGAGGATGGGGACAGGTATTTGTACCTGGTGGTATGCCCCCCCCCCGGG